CTCCGAGCGCGGGACACGCGTTGTGTGGAACATGAGATTGGTGCTGTGGGGATGATGAGAATGTAGACCGAAGATAATGTGCTGTAAGGTAAATGGAGTGCAACCCCTGTGAGTCTTCGAAATAACAATTCCGCTTCATTATAGGTCGGATCTACTAATATGAAGACGGATGCCCCAATTGGGTGAAGCCATAAAGTCGCAGTCACAGCAACACATCAGAAATGGACTCTTTTCTCTTACAAAATTCCAAGAGGAATGGGGTTCGAGGGTGTGTTTCCCATCCTAGGAAGAGCGATGATACCGCATCGGAGGCCCGTTCACAACCGCCATCAGTGAGAGCGCCTCGACGGGAGGTCGCCGAAGAACGTAGAAAATTTAATTGATATAACCGAAGAGTTTAGGTGCTTCTACTGCTGTCAATCCTTTAAAAGGAGGAATAGCAAACCATCGTGGTCTGGTATGAATATGACCAGCGTGATCATTGATCATGATGAACGATGAGAAGTGCAATTTAAGCAAGAAGCGACCAGATGTTGCATTCAAGTTGTTCATGAGGGAGCATGCTCCAATATCGGTAGTAAGTGATGATATTCTTCAATTATGATAATGAAAGCAAGCAAACAGGATACCCCCCTCAGCACGCTCACTCCAAATAATGTCAATTTCACCCTGGAATCAACTACCATACATCGCACTCAATCGACATAGCCAATTATGAGAGCCTGATACCCCCTAGCCTCCCTTAAGGCCACTAATCCTTAACCTGGATGAAATGCTTTAAAGTATGAGCAAAAGGGGTGCTTTTACAAGGTAGACTCGAATGATACAATCAAAGAACCGGAGTTTGCCACGCCCGTCAAGTCATGATCATATAACAATAACAAATCAGTCATTTATCTGGTGGCGGGAAATCAGGGCATCTAACTTTGTTGTTCCTCAGCATAGGGTTGACGCTTTCGACACTTCATAACCTTATAATGTCAAAAACTATCTCTATTTATAAATCCTTTTATGATTGATTGTAGATTAATCGGCAAGATCATAGGATAAGCCCTTATGCCCGTTCCCACTTTAAATGCTTTATAAGTGCGGTGTAACTTAACGCACTGGCCCCTACCCTTACTCCCCCTCCAGTGGTCGTGGTCAGTTGCTCGAGGAAAGTAATGATTAATAAATTACAATATTTCTCAAGTAAGAATGAAAGAGTAGGGCTTGCGGTGAGTGCACATATTCGTTGGCTTTTGACGCTCACTGCTGAGGAATGCAGCTTGTCGCATGTATCGGCATGATTTCTGCCGTGATGACGTTGGGGCTTTTGTCATATATTGGTGTAGGACTTCTCTTTTGGTACTTGAAATCCATCTGACTATTTGGCAGTGGAATATACTTGTGACAGGCCAAAGAGCTAGTGCTCGTCGGGGACTTCGCTCATTTGCGTTTTCACCGCTGGGATGTTACTTTATATCTTTGATGATATGTGATCTTCTTCAAGGTATGATTGCGAAGGTGTATATGAATACTAACAATAACGGTCTCTTGCAAGGCGCGGCATTCGCTTTGAACTTCCGATGGGCTGCCCTGGGCTTAATGTCTGAAGGACCCATATGTACCATTCAAGGCGCCGTTTCAGAGGTCGGTGATTTGGGGGCAGCTATCTGGTCCACTGCTATATCGATCCATACATTCTGGTATACCTCAGGACTATTGACGTAGCCTGTTATTCAAATGCTCACAACCACGCGTAGGCTTCTTTTTCTCGTCAGACAGCCAAATAGGCGGTTCGGCTGGCTCGCCATGACCTCAGGATGGGTATTAATAATCTGCCTACCGATTCTTGGACCAACGGCTATACAAAGCCCACATAAGGGCCGTTTCTATGGTCTTAGTGGAGCTTGGTGCTGGATCGGAAATGGCTATGGCTGGTGCAGGGTTTTATTCCTCTATGTCCGCCATTCCTCTCACTCCTTCTGTCCGCCATTACTAACTTCCTAGCATCACAGGGATGGGTCTTCGGAGCCTTACTCACGTCCTTCATTATATATTGTAATTGTTTATGCGTTGGTGTAAATTAGGCATAACTGTCTAACTTTTCAACTAGCCCTCATCTATCTCCGCTTCACAAACGTTGTCACCATTGGAAGGGATGGATGGTCCCGATTACGACTTTTTCGATCGCCGGCTTCTCTAAGGCTCGCTACACCTACCACTCGTGATGCGCCAAAGAATTTGAGTGAAAACGTTGAACATGACTATATGAATTCTACCCTGCAGGTCAATTCGCCATTGAAAGTAGTTGCGCAGAAAATAATGTGGTATCCCATTGGTGATTTTTGTTTATGTTGGATGGGTATAACGTCACTTATCGTGGAGAAGTTTACAGCGCCGTTGTACTACCAGTGGCGATATGTCGAATGGGAGTTCTCGCAGGTTGGAATCCGCCTTTTGGACTTTTCATCTTCGCTGGCATTTGTTTCACAAGCAGCGGTACGAGTATGTTGTGGATCTGGCCGGAGTCACTATCACTTAAACTTAAAATTGAGGTATCACCAATACCATCCTTTTCGTAACGACACGACAAAGCTTTATAACTCAAAACAATCAAGCTCAAATCACACGTGTGCATGTTACAACTCAACATGTCATACTTCGAGATGTCCCCGACTTTAAACACTCGATTCAGGAACGGGAAATTCAGGTGATGGATCTCACCAACTTTTCCGATCCGAAAGCAGATCATGCACCGAGTCCGATACCTCCCGCGTTCTTCTATAACAACGCACCTCCTCACGGGGGTTGGATAAGAGGAGACACCATAGTTATTGAGGGTGGTCAGAAAGGTGAAGAGTCGTTCACATCATAAGTCACATTGGGCGGAAATTCTACCTTGAGTGTTCCTGCTCCTACGCTGGCATTCGTCTTGCATTTGTCGAGTGTTACCAAATTTGTAATGGTACCCCATTTATATACAGAACTACCACCAGGTATTATGTACATTTACCCCTGTTGTCAGACTAGTATACTATTTACCGACGGACCCTACTTATTGGCTACTTTTTGTACTTAATGGTCACTAAGTGTAAGCCTGGCACCCCAGGCGTACTACAGCGGACCTTTAACTATATTAGATAACCATCCTTTAGCGGATTTAACTATATTAGAGAACCACCTTTTTGTCCTGTAATCTATCGTATCTATTCTGTTCTGAACAATATAGTGTGGTCCTCTCAACTTGTGTGACCCACAGACACCCAGTGAGGCTGATTGACGACAGCCTTACACATTTTTTTTTGAGACTGGCCCTTTTATTCTTTCCGCTTCGCTCTTTCATCCTGGAGGACAACCAGCTCACCCGTTTCACTCGAAACATAGCTGCTACACATCAACTTCCTATTCTAGGTCCCCTAGACTTCATCCTGCACCACTGCAGTGTTGGAAACCACTAAGCCAACGTTGGCTTAGTGGTTTCCAACATGCAGGTCCCCAATTGAATCTGACGATGCAGTATCAACCAACAAAGATTTACCTGTACTTTTGGTACTTTCCCATGCCAATCCTTTCACCTGTCATGCTGAGTGGCACTTCCCAAGAAGACCTCCTACACCCAACCTCTTCCTACCCAGCCTCATCATTCATTAGAATCCATGGCTTCAAGGAAAATACCCTCTTTCCTCAGCCCCCTTACTCCAACAGCACTTGAGGCTTGGCTTGGCCAGTGTGAGGATGGATTTGCCAATCATGCATCCACCAAGACTGAAAAGACACCTGCACTTGATGTCACCACACAAATCCATCTAACTGGTACTCAGTTACTTGAGCCAACAATGGCAACATGGTGGAGCAGTGGAAGGAAGGACTTTTTAAAGTTGCCATTATGGGATTTATTGAGTCAAAGATTAAGGAGAGGTTTATGCCAAAGGGTTACAAGATGCTTGCACTGTGGTCATTCTTCCTCTGTGAACAAGGAAAGTTTCAATTCCTTATTATGCTGCTGTCCTTGCTGAAGCCTGGAATGCAGTTGGCATTTCTGTGATTTCAGCATATGTCTACAAGTGTCAACTTCTATTTCATTCCTATCACATCCTCCTCCTTTGTATCATGGCCATGCCAGAATTCAACATGGAAACTATTGGATTTGATGATCTTGTTTCTCTGCTCTCCATGCAATGGGAGAGCCTCATTGCTGAAGGAGTTGCTGGTCATATATCCACTCATTCTGCATACTCTCAGCCCCTCTTGTTGTCTCTGTGCCAACCACAACTGCTCCCTGTACTGCACCTCCTCATCTTACAGATGCAGAGAGAAAATGCCTCACTGATCTTGGGGGATGCTGGAAGTGCCAAAAGGTTCCCACAGATGAGGGCTGGACTGACCATGTTGGTCAAACATGCCCTGGGAATGCAACACTTGGCATCTTACCTGGTTGCAACTTTGTCCCTATCAAAAAGGAGATTGCTGGTTTCACCCTTACTGACAGTAATGGAGAAGACCAACCAGACAGGGTGCATCAGGATGATGACACCAATTCCAACTATTAACCACCCCTAATATTCCCCCCAAATTTGTTTCAACTTCATTTTTTATTTCACACCCAGGCCACCTTGAACTTCCATCACTGCTGGGAATTCTAGGATGTAGGGCCTATCACAGTGTAAGGTTGTTGTCAATCAGCCTCACTGGGTGTCTGCGGGTTGCACAAGTTATGAGGATCACTATATTGTTTGGAACAGAACAGATACAACAGAGTATAGGACAAAAAGGTGGTTCTCTAATATAGTTAAAGGTCCACTGTAGTACACCTGGGGTGCCAGACTTACACTAAGCATGATACAGGTACATAAGTAGACATTAAGTTGGTTTAAGTCAATCTTGGAGTTTTCTGATGTATTCAGGAACTGATCTTCTTATATTCTCTAAGGACATCGAAATCTCATCAGTAAAGATGGAGATGGAGATGGCTTAGATCTGTTGAGGTAAAGTATGTTAAAAGTGTAGAAAATGAATGGCCAGACTGGGAATTGAACCCAGGGCTTCTGCATATATAGCATGGGTGTTACCACTATACCACCTGACCCTGGGAAACAGTGCTAGCATTACACAATCTAACAAAGTAAGGCTAGAAACTGGAAGGGGGCAGGTCTCCATTGCCTGAACAGTCTCAGATTTGGGAGAGATGAGTCCATTGATCACCTGTCATATATTTTATCACTTTGTTTCTCTGCTTAACCTTTAAAAGACATTAGTCAGACAGTAGAGGACTGGATCCTTTAACTTTGGCTCAAGAGTTTTATGATGTCATTGTTCTGGTAACATATGATTTACTGCTAGCTCTAAACCCTAGAATTAGCATATATTAACCCTAAGTAGCTAGGTGGCATTGTCATAGTGATTCCATGGAAACCAACTGAGTCATGAATTACATCAAAGGGACATATCAGAGTATAACCAGATAGTACGAGTATATTTTGACGGGGGTGTAAATGGGGTTTGATCGCTGTGAAAGCATATGTCAGCGTTGGGTGACTGACAGTTTCTCATGTGATGACTTGATCAATGACTTGAAACATCGATAGGCAGCAATAACCTTGGGACCATCGGGTTGCGACATGGTCGTAACACTAATGAGGTGTCCCTAATCCTTGTAGTATGTAATCTGCTTTGTCTCCCTGACTACATATTAAGGGAGATGACTCATTGACTAGTCATATCAAAAGGGCTGTGAGTAGGGATGATCTATGACTCAGATACATAGTCATAGTTGGTTGGATGACTCTGAAATCCACATATGAGTCAAGTATGGGAAATACTGACTCATTCTCCTAATCACATTACTTAGTAAGCAGGATCCTGGACTAGTATAAATACAGGCTCAAATCATGTATTTACAATATCATTCAATATCACATCACTTGCTCATTTGGCTACACTTGTCTACCAGGTCCACACATTGTGCTTAAGTCAAGTACTCTCCTTGCCAATCTGTTGACCATCTTGTTTCCTTGAGTTGAGCTTTCTCCTCAGAAAAGGGACACAGGCACATAGTTGAATAAAAGTGGATACTGAATTAATTGACAAAATCCCTACATACAGATTAATTTGAATTTGAATCTCCTTTCTCAAGCTATGCTACTTAACTCAAGTAAAAAGAGTTTACAAGTATCTAAATAGTAATAATACATTACATCACCCTCCAAAGTCCAAGTGATCCAGAAAAAATGACTCATAGAAACCCAGAGTCACTTTGGATAATAAATGATGGCACAGTTTCTGGGAAGAAAACTAGACCCTACATCCCACATAAATAACACTGATGTCAGTTCAAGCATTGAGGGTAAACTTAAATCCCCTGTATGAAGCTGGTACCTGATTATGTACAGTATATGTATGCTCCCATGAATCTCAAGAATTCACTGGCCAAGACCAAGTTATTAGTGTGTCATCATTTTCTGACATAGTAGTGAAGTTATAGATGGAAGGAACAATTGATTTACAAAAAGGAAAGGGAGTGATCGGTGTCTATTATGTCAATAATTTGAAAAATAATGAGTGTAGTTTGCAATTGGAGGTTAAAATATGTACAAGGAAGTAGGGTTTAGGGATCAATACAGATCTACAAGACAAGGGTATTAGGACCCATGCCCAGATCTTGATTGGACCTATTTGTCTTACACTGTTAAGTTCCGAACAAGGATCCACACAGGTCCCACAGAGGTTTCCGGTAATTATTCCAAACACACACTTTCTTCTGGGAAATGTCCCACAGAGTCCCCAGGTAATAAGTCCAGGGGAAGTTCCAGGGATATTAGTACAAGGGAGTGTGGTATCAGAATAATTATTAGAAGGTATGGTATGGCTGATAAGATAAACTTGGCTTCAGCTTATGAGCTGCACCCTTGTACACTCATTCCGGTGTTGATATTTCGAGCTGACAGAATGCATACAGGAAGATGTAGATTCTGGAGTTCCTGTGGGAGTTCCGGGAATCGAGCATGCAGACAGACAAGAGGAGCAGAGACTAGATCAGGGGTGTAACTTGTTTGAGGGTGTAACTTGTTTGAGGGTGTAACTTGTTTGAGGGTGTAACTTGTTTGAGGGTGTAACTTGTTTGAGGGTGTAACTTGTTTGAGGGTGTAACTTGTTTGAGGGTGTAACTTGTTTGAGGGTGTAACTTGTTTGAGGGTGTAACTTGTTTGAGGGTGTAACTTGTTTGAGGGTGTAACTTGTTTGAGGGTGTAACTTGTTTGAGGGTGTAACTTGTTTGAGGGTGTAACTTGTTTGAGGGTGTAACTTGTTTGAGGGTGTAACTTGTTTGAGGGTGTAACTTGTTTGAGGGTGTAACTTGTTTGAGGGTGTAACTTGTTTGAGGGTGTAACTTGTTTGAGGGTGTAACTTGTTTGAGGGTGTAACTTGTTTGAGGGTGTAACTTGTTTGAGGGTGTAACTTGTTTGATGTTTGAGGGTGTAACTTGGTTGAGATTCAAACTGGATTCTAAGTACATGAATGTAGCAGACTTATATAGACTTTGAAATGTAATAATACCAAATCTGGTATAAATGAGGGGCAGAACTTTCAAACATAAAATGAAACAAGTGAATACCAAACTAGGTATTAGGGATGGAAAGGAATGGGAGCAGAGAACGAATCATGACAGGTCATTAGACCATAATGGGAGCGGGGCTCTGTTAGAGGGGTTCTGGGGAGTCTGGTCAGGGTCCGGTGACTGGTCCATGAGATATGGAGTGTCAGGTATATAGGGTGGGAGTTCAGAGTCTGGTGGAGTCCGATGACTGGTACATGAGACACATGACAGACTGTTTGACCATAACAGAAGCAGGGTTCTATGCTCTGTTAGAGGGTTTCTAGGAGTCCAGTTGGAGTCTGGTGACTGGTCCGTGAGATACAGAGTGTTGAGTATAAGCAGGTTGATGTCCGGGTCCAGCGGAGTCTGAGGATTGGTGTATTGTTACGACCGTGTCGCAACCCGACAGTTCCCGAGGTTATCGCCACCTATCAACAATTCAAGTCATCGCTCAAGTCCTCACATCAGAAGCTGTCGGTTCTCCAACACTGACATATGCCTTCGCGGTGATCAAACTCCATTTATGCCCCCATCAAAATATACTCGTACTATCTGGTTAAACTCTGATACGTCCCTTTTATTATGATGATCTGTTCTACTCTATGTTTCACATATGTCTATATACTTGTAACCCTCGGACTATTTCCTTTTCTCATAATTCCGCTCTCGGTTATCTCATGGCCTCTGAACTAATCATAACCTTCCCGTTCCTAGTCAAGCTTATTTGTCAATACCGTTTTCCACTCTTCTCCTAGTTAGTATTTACTAGACGCCAAATACTTGTATATGAACCTGTTGTAGTTGTAGTTACTAGGCAATCAGAATATCGACTCAGAATAACCTCTTATGCCTCCAGAAGTCTCATACTAAGTACTCCACTATCCACCTTCACGTGCGCTCGCTCACTCTCGGTCCCCGACCCCTTGGCCCGACACTCGACTTATCCTTCGTTTCCAATCGGTAGTTTTGCTGAGAGGTATTCATTAGGACTAGTCTTCACCCACCTGAAATTTAAGGACACCCGACAGATAACTGTGAGGGTGCAGCACATAAGCTGAAGCCAAGTCCTTCTGATCAGTCCCCATCAGCCCACTGACATTAGTCAGTTTTCAGTTCTTAACATGTATATGACATAGTGTCAGATATAGACATGTTGAGGTGCAAGTCCAGTGGATTCCAACAACTGGTGCAGATGGGGTGATGTGCAGGTCCCAGGAGTCTGGTCAGAGTCCAGTTCAGGAGATGACTGTTACGACCAGAATTCCCACCAGACTCTGGGCACTAACTTATATGCACCCGTGCCCTATACACACCAATTGTCAGTTTACCAGAATTCCCACTGGACTCCGTACATCAGACTTGTCCATGTTCGACTTTCATTACTTCATGTATCAGTCACCGGAATACCCACTGGACTCCATCCCTGTCTATGTCTGACCTCATCCCATGCATCAGTCACCAGACCCCGCTCAGAAAACCCATCATCCCTCTAACTGAGCCCCATTCCCATTTTAGTCAAATGACCTGTCACGATTCAGACTCTGCTCCCACTCCATTTCCCATTATGGTTTATGATTTGTCATGATTCGGACTCCACTCCATTCCGTCCCATTCCTAACACCAAATTTGGTGTTTACTATTCTTGTTTTATGTTTTGCTAGTTTCATTTCATTATTACTGGATTTGGTATGTTATTCATTCCACCATCTATATAGTCTAGATGTTGTACATACAATCCAGTCAGAAAATCGGCTTAGATTCCCCCAGTAATCTAGTACATTTTCTGCTCTAAATTCCTCCTTGAATTACACCACTCTCGCTAGTTGGAGCCCACAGGCTCCGACGCATCTATCTCTCAACCTCCGACTTATTTATCTCGACTCCCTGACCTCTTGACCCACGAACTCTGCCCAGACTCCCCAGGTTTCCTGTCTGCCTGTTTGAAATTGGAAAACACGATCTCGTGAGGGCACAGCCTATAAGCTGAAGCCAAGTCCTACCAGATTTCCTGTGGGTTTCTCCAGAAACCCACCATGTACATACCCTTAACAATGAACCAAGAACATGTAACAAAGTTAAATGTCAAAGGGTGGAGTCCGATGGATTCCAGGTCATAATAGAAGGTGTCAAGTTGGGGGCAGATAGGGTGGAGTGCATACAGAGAGTCAGGCATAAACAAGTTGATGTGTGGGCTCTGGCAGGAACTCCAGTTGTAAATATACAATATAGAGGGTTGGGAGCATGTAGGATGGCGTCCGGGAGCCTGGAGGCCAGTGGGCTTTCCGGTTCCTGACATACTCTATGTTCCTATCAACTCCTGCCACTTGTTAGTCCTTGTGCATAGCCCTCTGACTGGATATTTTTCACCCCTCTGTCTCATTTGCACTTCCATTTACCTCTTGCCACTTCTTATTGGAATAAAAGGAAGAGGCTGAGTACACCAGAAGTGCACAGACATGGACACAGGCACAGGCACTGTTGGAATTGGTGTTAAG